CTGTTCTTTACAAAAATGATAATTGGCAATTAAATATCGGTGCTCTGATATTCAGTGAACTAGCACATAAGCAGCAACATTTTACAATTGTGTAAAAAATAAACACTTATCATGTTCAATAAAGATACAATAAAGCTTATTTGACCCGTTTTAAAAGAACATGAGTATATTGAAGGTTTTCCATGGGCCTATTTATGACAAACGACATTTTAAATACTGTGTAGTTATTGTTAATGGAGTTATCATGTATGACTGCCTTCTTTTGATTTTTTTTTTTTTTTTTTATATCATCATTTTTTTTTAAATAGTTTGTTATTTCTTTTGGGGTGGGGAGGTAAATAACAGCTCAGTTTTCTTATTATTTTGTCCAATCAGGCTCAAAATTTTCGTATTTTCATCTTATTTTACACCCTTTTTAAAGATAGAAAATTATTATTTAATGTATTGTACTGTATTATATATGTTATTACAGTCACAGTTACTGTATATAAGATCAAAGGAATTTTACAGTATAACCTATTTTAACATTAATAACGTGACTAGCTTGATTTGTTGGGTTTTATAATTTAATTTAAAAAATTTCATTTGACATTTTACTTCAGCCCCAGTTTGTTCTTATGTTGTTCTTATTTGTTAAGCAATGTAAGCTTCTGTGTTGTTATAAAAATGTGTTCTTATTTTTTTTAAAAGGTATTGATTTAAGGTAGGCCTATCGCATGGTATTTAGTTCCCGACGAACTCAGCGGATCATCTACGTCATGTTACCAGTGTACTATTTAATAGGTTTAGGCCTGGTAGGCATCTTGTACAAGGACGTGTTCCCTTCTTGCCTACCAGCGTTTTGAGAGAAATAAATTATGAATTATTTAGGTAGGCCTATTCACAACAGGAAGTGAAAGTTGGACACACTGCCCTGATGAATGGACAAATGATTGACAGAACTGACAACAAGGACAGGCTCCGTGTACAATTCCGATAGACAGAATTTTCAAAAAAAGTGCGGGAGAATTTAAGTCCTCATTTACATGTTCGCAGTTTTAAACGTTTTTTTCACGTATTACCTTTTTTCACACGACTTATAAAATCCAGATAAAAATTCTTAGCTGGCTAGTGTGTTTGGTCGGCATTAACTAATAGGCCTTATGTGCATTGCTTATGTGGAAGACGAAGCTGTCAAGTAGGTGTCTCAGCACTTTCGAGAGTAAAATTAGGCCTAATAGCCATAGGCCCTTATTTCATGATTAAAAGCACGTTCATAAATAGTTTATATGGATTTGTGTACAGTGGTACGCTGTCAAAGTAAGTAATTAAGACCTAGTAATACTAATAATCATAATCGTGGTTTGCAGTGGTGGGTCGTATTGATGAAGACTGTGGACTTATTTTCTTGATTCTTGTTAGCTGTCCAGCGTATTGATGTTCACATCGTGTGCAAAGCCGGTGGGAAGTAGACAGAGTTTGTATACAAATCTTTGATGTTTGTAGAAAGGGGTATTGTCCGATTCCCTAATGAAATCAGGCCCTTTCATCGGTACAAAAGATCACCATTGTTCGGTAGAAAATTGCAAATTATTCTTCGCATACAAGTCCACAAAACACCAGTGCTTGGTTCAATGGCTCCTAACAACTTTTTCTGAATACGTTATCCGGAATAGTTTTAGATGAATAGGGCCATATATTTGTTCACTTTAAAAACATCTTTTATTCTCTTTATTCCGGTTTTCTTAGGGGTGTTTCCGCTGCAAAGCGCAGATAAAAAGCCAGCTTAGCACTTCGTTATTAGTCGTATAGATGTGTACGCTTCGAACCGTGGGTCCGAACGTGTGAAAATATATCGATGTTTTCATCTGCTGTAACGGTCAATATTTTCCGTGGGTATGGATCCGAATAAAAAGAGCTCAGAAAAACTGTAGCAACTTTCAAAAACTGTTTCTTGTTCGGTACTATTCTGGGCCTGCTTCTTATAAGATGAATGCTCCTTCGGAATGTTAATTCAATTTATATTTCGCATGAAGTCACCCTCAACAATTGGCTTTTCTTTAAATTATTTTTTTAATAACAGCGGTCTAAATTCGTTTTTTAAACTGAAATAAATTGAAATTCAGTAAACCCCTCATTTCGATCCCCTTAGCATTTTTGTTAAATTTAAGTAGTGTAGGTATTTTTTTTTATCAAATCTTAATAAACATACGGGTCTTTGTAAAATATTGTTTTCTTAAATTTTGATTCTTATTGTTGGGATTTTGCTGAATTCTCTCCATATATCACTGATTCTTATCGAGGCTTTGTGTTAAGCTTTTATAGACAATTTCCGATGAAAATAAACGTTACTTGAGACAGTGGGATGATGTACTAAGATAATGAAAATAGAGAAAAAGCGAGATTTATTATTAAAAAGAAAGTTACCGTGGTGAATGTGTGTTTAGCCAGTCATGACGCAAGCCCCTCTCCCAAGAATATCCGTTTATTGATAGGTTTGTTCACCCGTAACACTCGAGGCGTATTGTTGATAATTTTATTATATTAAGTAAGAAGATAAAAAGTATGAAATGGTAATAGATACATGGGAACATAATCGTAATTTCAGATACAGTGTTGTTTTGGTAAGGAACATAACGCATTGTCATTTTCGAGTTAAGAATAGGCCTGGAACGCAGATAACCAATTATCGTGACATCATTGAAACTAAAAACGCATCATAATTCTTGGAGAGAATCGAGAAATGCATTAAAGGTCTACATACCAACATCGACGAGTGAAAAGTGACAAACACATGAGCACAGCGACAGTATTAATTTTTGGATCGTGTTTGCGACGTGCCAGGCATGAATTCGATGGTTGTAATTACCGTGTTATTCTCGCCTTTTATGCTCAAATTTCTCATTTCCAACAAGAGAATGAAACTCCAAGAGGACCAACACACACATTCCTACCATTGAGATATAATCTCCTACCGTCTTTAGACACGAAAATAATCATTTTTAAGCAGTATCTCTACACGAAGATTGCAGCAAATGATACAATTACTTGTATAGCCCATGTATTCAGATGATGAGATATGTGTGTTGAGCAAAGAAATCGAACAATTTGTAAAGGAATCCGAATATACATATAAAAATATGTGTTCCTTGTAGGAATTAGAATAATATTACATAAATAAGTAATTGACTAAAGGGCTAGCTGGTAAAGTGAATTGTTTATTATATTTCTTCCAGGACATTGACGTGGGGCTAATAATAGGGGATTGAAGCTGAGGCACATCTGAGAGATAGGCCCATAGGCTATATGTAGGTATGAGGGGCTGATGGGGCAAAGGTTAAGTGGGGTGCTAACTGACAAAATAATGTGATTTTCAGCGTAATTTTCCGTTCAGAAACTTGTCAGTAAACAAGCTTCATTTTGGGAAGGGGAGCGGTGCTTGGCGAGGCCACTCTGGATCAAGTGTAAATGGTTTATTATTACTCCATGAATGACAAAATAGAAGGAAACAGTGGTGCAACGAAAGTCGAGGCTTACGGTCCATGTCTAAGGCTTCTTCAAGCCTGGGGTGGGGGAGGTGCGTAAGTGGCGTACGCGAAAATCTCCCAGCGCCGATATTTTAGACACGTATTAGGCCTACTATTTTTACACATTTTAGTCGTTGAGCGGTCCTGTTCGGTCGTTTTTTTTGCCCCATGTCCTGGCTAAGATATGCCAATTAATATCTCGCGGGCCTTCTATATCCGGGGATCCTGACTCTTTTAGCCAATGAGAGCAATCTGCTACCCCACTCCGGGAAAAGAAGAAAAAATAGTACAAACACAGAGAGAAAGAGGTAGTTGGGATGGGTAGGGGATAGGCCTACAGTAACATTTCCGGGACAATAAGTTTAACAACAGGAAATCTGACTATCTATCGAACTAGAATTTAGGCCTACTGAATTATTGACAACAGGTAGGAAGTAGCCTACACGGTGTTCCTAATTAACATTGTAGCCTCGTTTATGTCAATATTTCAAAGTTTGTTGGTTCTTCTTAGATTTAAAATGAATATCATTTAAACGGACAAAGAGGAAGAAAGTTGATATCACGGAAATATCTACTAGTATTGTAATTTCCGTGTTTACACAAACGCCAAATATATTATTGTTGGCTTTGTTCTTAATTATCTTATCGCTTATTAACGATAACGTTGCCTGAAATGTTGTTGGTATCATTGATTGTTGTGGTTCCGTAAGTGTACATGTTATATATTTCAGATGTTTTTACAAAGCATACTATTATTCTGTGGCGAGGAAATGAAAATCTATTTTATTAATGATAATAATAATAACATCAATTATTATTATTATATTATTATTATTATTATTATTATTATTATCATCATTATTATTATTATTATTTTAATAAATATTTAATTAGTATCATGAATATTGTTAACATAATCATAACCACAATTATATTCGAACAGTTACTTTTTCTGTTGAACAAACATTTACACTTAAGATAAACACCTAACACCTAACACCTTATGATACAAAATAAAAACGGCCGACTATTTTCCACAGTCGATTCTAAAAAAAAATTAAATTAAAAAACATATCTGAAACACAACAAAAATTATATCAACTAATGTGAATAAAAATAATAATTAAATTAGTTTATATTTATAAATAATACAGTAAAAGAAAATTAAATATAAAATATACGTTTTTAAAAGCTTATCATCATAATTTCGATTACTACCTTTATACTTTTTTCACATGAATTTTGAAAACGTTTCATTCATCATTATTAAAATTATTTAACAGTAAAATAGGCATAATATCAGTTCAAATGAGTAGAAAAATTAATCTGAAGGAATAACCACGGAGAAATATTCTTCCATGAAATACTATTCCTGTCTCTTATACACATCTAGATGTGTATAAGAGACAGACTGCATACAATGTTACACATGATTCGACAAATAACAAAATTAAAAACACAGCTAAATGACACAAATAAATAACAGAGTCAGGCTTACTTCTTTTACAAATACTTTATTCTCCACTGGCAAAAGACCTCGATTCTGAAGTCGAAGAGTACGTATAACATAACGTTATTTTTACGGCAACACAAAAACAAAAGTTGATTTTTTTTAATGCTCAAAATCAACTTAAAATATGAAACTTTGCGAGAAACAACATTATTCATTACCCATGTCATATGGCAACTCAGAAATTATAGCATTGTATTACAGTAATTATAAATATTAGCTCATTGATTTTCAACACTTATCTCGATAAACAGTCACTACAGGCCCACAGAAATATAATCTTAATTTATCGCTGTTACCGGTAATGTATTTCAAGTCCGTTACATATAAATAATTTTAAACGATCTTATACCAATATCTGTGGACTAATTAAACATATTTGGAACTGATCATAATCGGAGAAACACACAGAGTGATACTGTTATCCATAAAACTGGCAAAAGCGGTGGGGAATGGGTTTTACAATTGCTTATAAAATGATGCAATTACACCTAACACCACTGGATTTTTTCCTAACAATTATATTTTCTATTATAGATAACAAATAATGACTTTTGTATAACATATTTTATGTAAAGAGCAACAATATTATTATTCCGATTTATAACAATTTTTTTTTTAAAATCCTGTGGAGGATAGTCCAAATTCTGTTTTCCTAACGGACGACAACGTAATATTCAAGGCAATCGCCTTTGTATAAAATATTTTAGATAAACAATAATCATACTCATTCGTTACGTTTTTTTTTTTTACTTAATCTTGTGGAGGATTTTAATAAATATAGTGTCAAAAACACCTTCACACAACAACTTGAAGATAAGTTGCGCGTACGTGAGAGTCTTGTAGAACAGACAATCACCACAATACCTGTCACTCGACGATCCTCAACTAGAAAAAGAGTAATCTCTAAATAACGTTAAGCCTCGATTTGAGGCTGGTCAAAACTATGGCAACGGGTCAATTAGAATATTGCTTTGTTTCCTTTCATTGCAGCATCCGTAATTCAATAAATCTAAGTGATTTTGAGTAGTTCGTACAACTGTTTCGCCATTTATGGCTATGTTTACATTGCTATCTATCGTTAAAATGAGTCGCAAATCGTCATAATTCTAAGATATGGAATTCAAACTTTTGTTTGACTCTCCATAAGGGGATTAATCAATAAGAATATTCATCTTTCACCAGATATTGTAATATAACAAAATATCAATCAATCAAGTTACCGTCAAGATTCCAGGCAAAAAAAAAAAGAAGCATTTTACTCTAAATAAACGATAACAATGTCTTTGTCCAAATTACCCATTCATGTCCATAACATGAACTAATTTAAGATACGATACCGTAACTTAAATCACTATGTCGAGTCTTTCTAATTTTGGATAAGTTTAGGCTCCAAAGAATATATCTTGCAAGATTGTCATGATAGTTACTCTATATATAATCTTAGGCCAAATAAAAAAATGTTTCACCCCACTCCCTTTCCTGATCCTTTAGTAATACCTCTATAACTGTTACTTAACACCCCCAAAATCATTCATAAAATAGATCTTCTATCATATTTATTATAATTTGTATGGGCTACGGTAAGTCTTCGTGAATTAAAAAGCAATTAAAATTATTTGAAAGAGGCAGTATTTTCGTCTATAAACCCCAAGAAACATGTTTCTATTTGGCGCTAGAGGTGTCAGGCAAAATCTCCAAAAGATTCATTGTTTGAACAGCAACAAAACAAACATAAAATAATCTAAGCAGTATAACAAAACGCTCTTTCGAACAATAACATTAATTCAAAAGATTGTCAACGTAAAATATAACATAAAATCATACTATTCATAATTAATAACTTATTAATTAAAAAAAATAATTAATAATTAATTAATATGGAATGTTACCTAAGACGTTTGAAAGGAGAAGCTTTTAAATAAACTGTATTTCAATAGAAGTCATTTATATAAATGTAAATAATTAATATACTACATTTTGAGGTTTATAAACAATCGTATTCAAATAAGAACACAAATGACAACACAGTTAAAGTCATCAACACATTGGAGTATCGTTTTAAAAGTATCAAGCTGGTTTGTGCGTGGCGACTAAGAAAAAAACAAGTGAGAATTTGAACAGAAAAACATGCCTCTCGACCTTGCAAAAAAGCACTTTCATTTTATACTATTTGCTCGTGGCTATTCAGCTAGGCGGACCGAAGTTCATTCGCCTCAAATCTGGTGGTTTCCATGTTTGTTTGGTGTCGTGCTAGGAGGAGTCAGACTTTCTCCATGCCTGACAACAAAAATGTGGTTTTGATGAAAAGGAGTGGTGTAATTATCCTAGAAAATACAGTTAGTATTATATACAAATGAGGACCTTCAAAATGTATAATTATAGATCCACCGATTAGAACAAGCAAGAGAAAAAAGATTGCATACGAGCCGCAAACCGCCGAATCGGGAACATTTTTCTGTTCTAAAAACACACTTTTTTTAGTTTCTACCAGCTAGCATGTTATAAATAAAATTTAGCACCCTTTGAAAAACGTGTTAATTTGATTTTCTACCAATTTAAAAAGTGAGAAAGACTAGAGATACAGAATAGGAGAGTTTTCTTCACCGAATTGGTGAGCATGTGATGTGAGGATAAAACATGACTGCAGAACAAAACAGTTTACATCTTATACTAATTTACAAAATTGTCTTAATAATAATAATAAACTATGCAAAATTAATAAAAAGTTGGCAATCCAACTTTTCATAATTTCAGACATTTCTTTTAACATTATATATCTTGTATTGTTCTGTACATCTTATAAGATCACCGATATTTACAGTAAATGTCTCCAACTTCTTTCGCACTCTTCGTAAAGCAAGTGTTCATGAAAAGTTGAATCGTCAGAAAGTCTAAATTTGTTGCACTTTTTCGCTGCGAGAAAATAAACCGAAGTTATATTGCCGTGGCTCTGGACATAGGTAGTGGTGGTCTTATAGACGCATGAGTAGGGTATGGTTCGATGTCAGGTTTGACCAAAACATACGCTACCGGACGTTGGACATCTTGGTGGTGGTGATGCGATGGCCAACTCCCTGGGTAGGGAAATAAGTACTGTTGATGAGTCGGCGAAATTGCGGCTGGGTGTCCCACACTTACGGGCGATGTCGGTAGCTTTCCGAACGCACTACTGTGTAACGATGGGTACAGTGCTGACGGTGAGTATAAACTGCTCAGTTCGGTAGCTCTATAAGCATGGTGGGCAGCCTCCAATTTCGCACTCGCTTCCAACATTGTTGAGTATGCATGAGGTGAGTGAGGTAGGAAAGCTCGGGCTTTCTCGGACGAAAATATGTCGGCTGCACTAGTATTGACGGCTAGTGAATTCGAAGTTGGTAGACACGGAATTGGGAAAGCATACCTGTCCTTTTTCAATAAAGATTTAGGCTTCCTTCTCGGCCGGTACTTATAATCTGGGTGTTCTTTCATGTGCAGGGCTCTAAGTCGTTTTGCCTCGTCAATAAATGGTCTCTTTTGTTCCTCGGTTAATAATTTCCAATCGGCTCCGAGTCGTTTGCTTATTTCTGAATTATGCATTTTAGGATTTTCTTGTGCCATCTTTCGTCGCTGTCCTCTGGACCACACCATGAACGCATTCATAGGCCGCTTAACATGATCCATTGGCTTAGATGTCATATCCATCTCAATTTGTACAGATGACCAACTAGGTCTACTATAGTAGTACAGAAAAATACGGCGTGTCACAAATGTTTCAAACACTCGTTTACTCAGACGTTTATTAAGTTCACTGGTATCCTTTGAGCCCTGCACTTATACACCCTTTCACAGCCGTGTCCTTTAGTTTACTGACTAGCATCGGCAAAGTTCAAAGAGTTCTGCTGAGATAAGGCATGCATACATTATGGGAATCAGGGGGTGGCCCGCCGAACATTCAAGCCTTCAAGGTCGCTATTAGCCAATCAGTCTCTGCGTTACTAACAATATGACTTAAGTTCCGCCTACCAGCAGGAAAAGTATTGTTTAATTGGTTAAAGTGAACTAAGTAATGACTAAGTATTGTGCGGACTTAATTGATTGACACCTCTGTATAATTAACCATTACCTTAACCTGTTGAGAACGAGCATTGTGATTGGTCAATCCATCTAGGCTAATTAAAACAAACAAAGATGGAGTAGACCAGAAAAAAATCCGCGAATCTTGGACATGATCAAGCCTAGATTCCAATAATAATGTTGAAATTGGAAAGCATGTGGCTATGTTTTGTGAGTACTACTGCATATCCAAGGAAGCCTGCGGCAAGGATGTACTATATAAACCTTCCTACCGTATGAATTTTCAATAATAAATTTATATAAACACCTCGTTAAAAAAGTAATGTTAGGTCCATGGGTCCATCTACGTACTTAAGTAGGGCTACAGCAGACTAATGAAAGGGCTGAGTAATGAGAGGTCCTAACTTGTGGAGATATTCAAACTCGTCAAAATCATCATCATCATCAAGGATTGAGCTCATTCATCACAATATTCGTGATCACCATTATCATACAACTTTACCGTGATCAGCATCAGAAACCATTTTCTTCACGCATCTCATTCGGCGAATTTAGTAAGAAGTTCTGCACGTCACAACAAAAATCAAATTGGTACGTTTATGCGCAGGCACCTCGTACCTGGAGTAGTAGGTTTAAGTGTAAGGAAGCCTAGTCGTTTGCAGTAGGCATACGTGTAGATGTACCGTATAGGATGTTAGAGCAGGGAGTTGTTAGAGCCTATGTCTGATTTAGGCACATGGGTCTAGGACCACTGCTGGTGGGCTAGGCCAACAGGCCTACATATAGAGTATGTTGACATTTTATTGTCTTTTCAAATTGAAATTTCTTGGGTTTTCAAAATACTTTTTGAATATAAAGATGCTGTAGTCAGATCTGAGATATAGACCGCCCAGCCCTACAGTATTTTATTTTTCATTTTTTTAAAAATATTTTTTCTTACGGTTGATTGAGGAATAATGTATTTAAATGGTTACACTATGACTTGTTTGGGGGCCCAATGGAATAATTTAATCTGATTTTAGTAATTGAATTATAGTCTATATATTAATATAAATCCAGTTACCTTATGTGATCAAGTTTATGTGATAATTTGGTCTCATATTTATATTCAGATCTGGAGAAAAAATGGTTATGTATTCAACCTTTGAAATTACCTTTATAAAATAAAGTAAAAAAATATACAAAAAAATGTAGTACATTACAGTATAGTATCAGTATAACTGACTAACTTGTCAATAAATTCATCAAAGAACAAACAACCAATAATAAACAATGACAGGGGCGGATCCAGAGATGTCCAAAAAGGCGGGGGGGGCGAAATTTGGGCCGATCGAGACAACAATGTC